CTAAAAATCTTTATAGAACTGTATATCAGAGAATGAAGCTCTTTTACGGGCATTACTAATCCTTTCATGTCGCTTTGTAAGCTTTTTTCGAAAAAAAGGTCTCAATTTGTCATGCAGACTGTTTATGAATAATTTCAAAAGGAAACTGATGAAGCAAATTCCAAACGCAGCTTGTCAAACGCTTGGTAAAAACATTTAAATTAAATGACCTGAAAGCAGACTTGAAAAAATATTTTTGCCAAAATGTAGAGCGTAAAATTCTCTACCATAGGATATATGTTTTTGTTATTTAACAAAATTGTCTATGTCAAATTATCATGAGGAAGAAAAAAGGGCTACATTTTTGTCAATTGGAGTAAAAATATTCTAATTTTTGAAATATCCAGCTTCTCTCTGATAAAGATCCTCTCATATGAATATCACAGGCCGAGATATCGTCTATACATGCCACACTTCAAACCTCCTTTAGAGCTTTTGTAGATATCGAAAAGAATCAAAAAGAAAAAGGTTTAAACTTTTGTGGCCCAATTTAAATCTCATGAGAGTGCAACTTTAGGATGATTTAGATTGGAAATACGGTTTTTGAAAAACAATTTAAACAGAAATACATTGATTCTTTATATCGGTTGTATTAAGTACTAGAAAGGGCAAGTCGAGTTAAAGTGATATTACATCTCGAATCTGTAGTAAGATTCTCAGTATTTCTACCTGTAGCTGATGCTTCACTTGGTTTTTTATCTTCATCTTTTTCTACCAATATAATTGATTTTCTTGTTTGTTCAATAATTTCGATTTTACCATTTATCATTTTATGAATTCCATTATTATATAGAAACATAATGCCACATTTTTTTATATTATATCTTGTACACAATGTTTCAACATATTGTACTAATAATTTAAATCCCATTGTTCGTAAAGTTGGCAATAAATGTTCTAATGCACCATAATCATTGTGATCAATCAGTTTTAATGAACATAATTCTCCAATAGGCACTTGATCTTGTACAGGAAACTGTGGATAAATAAAACATTTGGATAAGTTCCATTCATCATTCTCAAATTTACATATAAAATCAATCAACCAAACACAATGTATACGTATAGAATATTTTGTATAGAACTGCTACGAAAAATTTCGTAGCAGTTCTATACAAAATATTCTATACAGTTTTCACTACTGCTCTTCCACCAACCTATTACAATGTATACGGCTCATGAATGTACATAAGATACGTGTTTCATCTTTATTGTCTAAACGCGAACATTTATGATTCGATTCATTTAATCTTTTCAGTACTAATTTTAATAACTTTCCAAATGTCTCACAATTTCCATCTATTCCTTCATGATTCCTATCTGTTCTACAATGATAATGTGATTTTATTTCTTGTGGAACAACAAATAATTCGTTTCCAACGATACATCTTATATCTTCATTACTGAACAAAAGTACTAATTATAATTATTCCGCCAAATGCAACAGAAATAGACTTGAGCGTGAATCACAAACGTCCGTTTCGCGCCAATTCGCTCGAACTAATTATCTACGGCTCGTTTAGTAGTTTTAATGCTTTCTTTTTATTCCTGCGCGCGTACTCAGTGAGTTAAACAATTCCCTTTTTTCGCATCATGTTGCCAAAGAAAAAAATTCCCTTTTACAAGGTATGTCTAGCTTTTGTTGACTCTAGGAAAACACTGAAGAGCTCTAAAAAATAATAAAAACTCTCTAGGCCACGAAAAAAAATTGAAAACAAAGAGTGACCTGGACAGAGAATGAATCTGTGACCACTAGTTCTATGCGTAAATGCCTTTAACTAGTAGACCATACACGTCATTGCTGAAAGCATTCTCTGTTTATTTATGCTGATATAAAATATCTTTTACAAATTTTCTAATCCGAAATAATTTACTCTTTGACTTCAGATAGAGCTCCCCGATCTTATTAATAAATTAATTGTTCTTATATAGAATTTTATGCTCAACCCAAATTTAGTCACACTTTTAGTCACCGAAAATCTACACTTTCAGAGATATCCTCGGCTTTTTCAAAAAATTTTAAAATTTGATTTTGGAATAAACTAAGAACTTTGAAACGTTAATTTCAATCGCATTTGACAGCTCACACGAAAATCCACGAGATAAATTACTTTTCACGCCTTGGTACACTTTTTTGATCTCATACCGTCTCAAAAGCTGCTTTTGACCTGAAAAAAGCTTGTAAGACAACAAAATTCTCCGTCACGTGGAAGCAAATTGGGATGCGCCCAAGCTTTTTTGATATTTCTTGGAATTTTTTATTTTTCTGTTCAACCAAATGAACACTTCAATTGTAACTATTAGATTTACTCAGTTTTTTTTTGCTCTATAAGAATATGGTACTAGAACTGATCGATATGATATCGAAAAGAAGATTGTCAAGTGAAATGTGTATTCTATATAAGAACATATAATTTATCAATAAGATCGGGGAGCTCTATCTGAAGTCAAAGAGTAAATTATTTCGGATTAGAAAATTTGTAAAAGATATTTTATATCAACTGAGTCGCTACATGATCTAATCATTAGATCATGTAGCGACTCTGTTGTGCGCTGTGCACATACATACGAGCACATAAGAAAAAAATATGTGCAGGAAGAAAAATAAGATCAAAGGAAAGAAAGTTGAACGCAGTGTGTTTGATGTCTACCGTTGAATATAGTGTAATATACCGTGAAAACCTCCAACGGAGCCACCGGGTCCAAAAAATCGAGAGGGTCCCAACGAGATCTTTGCGTCGTACAACGTAACTCATCGCGCTGATTCCGAATATGTAAAAATCCTGAGGTACTCTAGTCTAGAAAAAAACCATCAAATTTTGATATGTTCGATACATTCTGATAAACTAGCGCCATTCAAATGCTTGACGATCTGATGATAATAAGAAGAGGCTTTTTTCTATCACCTTGAAAAACACACCAACTCACCAAACAAACAAACCCAAGCCCAATAATACAGCACTGGGTTTGATTTGGCGTTTTTTTACTTTTACTATTTAATTTCCACTTAGGCTGTTACTAATTTTATGCTCAAGCTTTAATTGAACTTGAAGTAAATTGTATCATGTTCCAGAAGAGAAATCCGGGTAAAACATGTGTGATTGAATATATCTGAATCTCTGTCACTCTCATTTTAAATGGGACATGCAAAGATATACAGTACCGTCTACTTACAAGGTATTTCTTATTGCAGACCATTTCTATACCAAAACTGTTTTAACTTTTCCAGAGTAGGAGCACCTCGAAAAAATCAGTAATTTGCAGCATGAGCATATTATGTAGTGAGTAAAAAATTAGGGAGAGAATTAATCGTTTCCATCTGTCTTTTTAGAAAGGTACAGTGAAAGGCAGCACCCTGGGCGTCCGCAAGGTAAAAACTGGAAAAACCGTTTTTTTTTAAACTGCTTTGTTTCAGTATTTTGTACCTAGAAATTGGTAGTCCAGCTGATTGGTTGTGCAGTTGATAATTCTGCATCGATTGGTATATAAAAGAAAATTTTAAATCACTAGGAGGATGTTTTTTTGAGATGTGCAAGTTGGGGTAGTATTGTGCATTTTTGGAGACGATTTTCAATAATTCCTCGATTCTTCATTTTTTTCTCGATCTTTCGACATGCACCGATGTCAAATTCATAAATGGTCCTCAGTGTTTGTCTCAAGCATTCAAAATTGTCTACGATCTTAGATTTGAAAACGTGGACAAAATATTCAAGGAGAAACAACTCGAAGAAGTGGCGACGGCATAATAGCAGAAACCAACGAAGAGATCAAGGAGATGACTGATCAAATGTTCGTTAATAACACTCTATCTGTATGGTTTTTCTCACTAAAGAAATCATAAATAAAGAGTAAACCACAATTCGACGAGATAATCCATTTTCAACGAAAATGGCAAAAAATAAAAGCAACTGTATGTTAGTCCAAAAATCATTCGAATAACTAAGTTAGATATGATTACTTAAATTATGAACACAAAACGTCTGCTAAACATTAGAGTTTTGTAAAGTTTCTTAGGCAGTTAGATAATGACAAATAGTGTATGTGTGTTTAGCTTTTAGAATTAAATACGAAATATAGTTTTAGGGATTGCTAGGTCCGACCTTGAATAAAGCATGATTTTTCATCTCTCCTCCACACAGTGGGCAAAAATAGGCTTTTCGTAATGCTAGATGTATTTCCAATAGCAGACATCAGTAAAGTGCGCGCGCTGGCTATAGCTGAGGAGTACACTTAATGAAACTTTCAGTGGAGCATCTTTAATACACGGTGCATCGACCTATATATGCACAAAGATGCACTAATCTCTCTCCACTGAGTTATGACTCTCCCAAAGGACATGGTTTTCCAGAGGTTTTGGACGTTTTGGTGAACAAATCGATGTTTCTCTAAAAGAACTTCAGACTTTTTCACCAGGAATTCCATGTTTCTCTACAAGAACTTCATGTGTTTCCGTGAAGAATTCGGCGTTTCCCCAAAAGAAAATCATCTATTTTCCTGAAGAAATCCATGTTTCTACTCACGAACTTCATGTGTTCTCAAGAGGAATTCGATGTTTCTCCACCACAGCGTCAGACTTTTTCATCAGCAATTCGATGCTTCTCCACAAGGACTTCAACTCCAAAACCCTTGATGATCAGAAAAGTCGTCTATTGGAAAGAGCATAATAGTTTTTTACGTAAAATCTAATTTTCTCAGTCCAAAGAATATTTTCAATCCAAATCAATAGCGTATAATCAGTGTGCGAAATTGTATCGAATGATGCATAGAACCCCATATTTGAAAACTAAAAAGATGTCCGAAGAAATTTGGGCAAAAGGTCGCCCTCAGGTGTTTTTGCTCTAAAACACGGTTCATTGTATTACCTCTTATTAACAATTTCTAGTGTGCCCGGACGTTGTGTGCTCAATTGTCGGGGCTCAAAAGTCGTATGCTTGTATGACGTATGACCGATAGATATTGCTTCTAGGTTGCGTATGTGATTCTAGAGAAGCCTGTATGTAAATTAATTTTCGGCACACAGCTTTCTTTACCTTCTTTTCTCCACTTTAGGTGAAACACTCTACAAATTTAATCATGCTACTTCATATGCACTTATAACGCAAATCATGAAGTTTGATTTTCCGTTCACCTGTATTATCTAATCACATTTTTGCTTTTGTTTCGTTGTCTTAAGTTTCAGTTCACTTTTACCATGTTTAACAATTAAATGATATCGAAGCGATATCGTTGATTTGTTACTGATTTTAATTTCATCATCACATAAGTCACATTTTGCTACTCCAACATTGCCTATCACTCGTTGTGCATGCTGCCAGACATAAGAACTTTTTACTCGCTCTTCGAAAACATCCTCAGAATTAGATTTGGTAAAGCCATTTATATTTGACGTTGTAGGTTGATCTTTTTTCGGTTGCTCAACCTTTTTATCTCTTTTTCTCTTGGATTTTGTATTTGTACTACTGTTTATATTCATGATAACAATCAGCGAGTAGAGATATAGATAACATTTTTTGCAGAGTTTAAAATTATTTTAGTAAGCAGGTATATATATATAAATCACAACTTTTAACTCTTTTAGAGAGAAAAATTTACAAAACCAAAAAACTGATGTTTTCAGCCTTTTTAGTAAAAAGTTAAAAAATTAATAATTTTTCCATAAAAGTCCGTTGAATGCCGGAGATGTACTCATTTTGCAGCCCAGGAAATTTTGAGAAAAAAAACCGGGTATCCTTAACTGTAGCAGTTTTAACTGTGACAGTACGTAACTGCGACAGTTTTTAACTGTGACAGTTTTAACTGTACCAGTTCTACAGTTCTACAGTTACAGTTAACTGCTTTTTAACTAAAACTGGTGCATACCTTGTTAGTGGAGCTGTATGTGTTACAGCATGCACACTCATAACAATATCTTTTCTATGAAATGTCTTGTTTAATACCATATATATCGAAAAATATTTGAAATTCTGAAAAACTTTTTACGCTCTAAAAATTTAAAATACTTGAAGAACCCATTTTTTCAAAAAACCGTTCATTTTCTGAAAATTCAAAGTTTTTCGATTCAAAGTTCTCTTTAACTTTTTAACCTATATTTTTCGGATTCAGTATTCAAAAAACGATTTTAGGAAGCGATCGGAATTAGAATCAAAACTGAGTCGACTGACATGTATTTGGAAATTTTCATTTCTTTTGTGAAATCTTGATAATTTTTGAACGTGAAAATTCCACAAAAATTAAAATAGTCGGATAGGATAATAATACATTTCAGACAACTCAGTTTTTGATTCTTATTCTGAATATGACATTTTTTTTGCATAAAAGTTGAGTTCTGATGGAGAACTTTGAGACTTTCAAGCAGACTTCTGACCCTTTCTCCTTACCCTAGTGAATGTACTTGCAACCAAGCTCTTAAGAACTTGAAGTATGCACGCAAGGACTTGAACAAGTTCTTAAGAAATCTTGTACTTTCTAAATACTTCCAAGGACTTAAGCATGTCCTTATCAACTACGATCAGTTTGCCCTCGTGAAACTTCTTGTACCCAAGATCTTGACTACCTCAATTTTTTCAGCAAGATCTTGGCGAGAAAGCACTTT